TATGGCTTCTGCGACTGCACCATTGCGGTAGCTGCTACTACTTTTTAGAAGTCTTACTGTACATATCCCAGAAACGGCGAAAGTTGCTTTCTCTTCTTATTCTTGATTGTGTGTTTGTGCTCACAATAATAATTATAAACATAACATATGTGTGTGTCTGTGTGGTTGTGTGTGTGTGTGTGTGTGTGTGTGCGCGCGTGCGTGCGTGCATGCGTACGTGTGGTATGTGATTGCACAATCGTGTACACGTGTGTACGTGTATGTGTATGTGTACGTTTATCAGATGTTCTGTTGTTCAACAGGAGATAGCTCGTCACTTGCGTCCCAGCACGTTGCGTGCAAAATATGGACACAACAAATTGAAGAATGCTGTTCACTGCACTGACCTAGCTGATGACGGTATGCAGGAGGTGAGTGGAGCTCTATCTCATGCTGGTATGGTGTCCTGCAGGTATGGTGTCATGCTGGTATGGTGTCATGCTGGTATGGTGTCATGCTGGTCTCGTGTCATGCTGGTATGGTCTGGTCAAGGCTTTCCCCAAATCGGCCGGCCGCAAAATTCTCCGTAAACAAGACTTACCGAAAAATGTATAAGGTTTTAGCCGATTTTGGAGGGTTCCTTTGAGAATCGCCGAAAATCTTCCAAATGTTGTTGCAAAGTGAGTTACGAACGAATGATATTGCTGCAAGCATGACCGCTCGAGCTCTCTATGGCAGTACTTGTAAACTAGTGCGTTGAGGTCGTGTGACTCGTGTCCTTTGAACTCCTCCCAAACAAACATTAGCCATTAGGAAGATCATTACTAGTAAAAAACTAGAATTTCTTTTCCCCAGTGTCTCACCACTCTTGTAGCCAGTATGCCCACAATTCTTCTGGCCGATTTTCCAAAATATTCCAATTTTGTAGCCGATTTTCGAACAATCGGCTGATTTTCAGCCGAATCTGATGTGTTTTTGAACCGAGCGAACAGCCAAATAGGCGGACAATAACCGGGCCGATTTGAGGAAAGCCTAGTCTGGTCTTATGCTGGTCTGATCTCATTCCGGTCTGGTCTCATTCCGGTCTGGTCTCATTCCGGTCTGGTCTTATTCTGGTCTGATCTCATTCCGGTCTGGTCTCATTCCGGTCTGGTCTTATTCTGGTCTGATCTCATTCCGGTCTGGTCTTATTCTGGTCTGGTCTTATTTCGGTCTGGTCTCATTCCGGTCTGATCTCATTCTGGTCTGGTCTCATTCCGGTCTGATCTTATTCTGGTCTGGTCTCATTCCGGTCTGGTCTCATTCCGGTCTGGTCTCATTCCGGTCTGGTCTTATTCCGGCCTGATCTCATTCCGGTCTGGTCTCATTCCGGTCTGGTCTCATTCCGGTCTGGTCTCATTCCGGTCTGGTCTCATTCCTGTCTGGTCTCATTCCTGTCTGGTCTCATTCCTTTCTGGTCTCATTCCGGTCCGGTCTCATTCCGGTCTGGTCTTATTCTGGTCTGTTCTCATTCCGGTCTGGTCTTATTCCGGTCTGGTCTTATTCCGGTCTGGTCTCATTCCGGTCTGGTCTCATTCCGGTCTGGTCTTATTCTGGTCTGGTCTTATTCCGGTCTGGTCTCATTCCGTCTTATTCTGGTCTGGTCTTATTCCGGTCTGGTCTCAATCCGGTCTGGTCTCATCCCGGTCTGGTCTCATTCCGGTCTGGTCTCAATCCGGTCTGGTCTCATCCCGGTCTGGTCTCATTCCGGTTTGGTCTCATTCCGGTCTGGTCTTATTCCGGTCTAGTCTCATTCTGGTCTGGTCTTATTCTGGTCTGGTCTTATTCTGGTCTGGTCGTATTCCGGTCTGGTCTTATTCTGGTCTGGTCTTATTCTGGTCTGGTCTTATTCCGGTCTGGTCTTAATCCGGTCTGGTCTCATCCCGGTCTGGTCTCATTCTGGTCTGGTCTCAATCCGGTCTAGTCTCATCCCGGTCTGGTCTCATTCCGGTCTGGTCTCATTCCGGTCTGGTCTCATTCCGGTCTGGTCTTATTCCGGTCTAGTCTCATTCTGGTCTGGTCTTATTCTGGTCTGGTCTTATTCTGGTCTGGTCGTATTCCGGTCTGGTCTTATTGTGGTCTGGTCTTATTCTGGTCTGGTCTTATTCTGGTCTGGTCTTATTCTGGTCTGGTCTCATTCCGGTCTGGTCTCATTCCGGTCTGGTCTCATTCTGGTCTGGTCTTATTCCGGTCTGGTCTTATTCTGGTCTGGTCTCATTCCGGTCTGGTCTTATTCTGGTCTGGTCTTAGGTTGCGTTTGTTCGGTGTCATTCCGACACCATTCCAAAGTCATTCCGCTGTGCTTTGGTTGCGGTGCGTTTGTTTGATGCACCGGACAGCGTTTGTTCCGTGCAATTCCGATTCCGGTCGCGGAATGAAGGGGGCAGAATCGATTCTGGCGATTCCAAAGAAAAAAGTGGAATGAGTGCTCATTCCGAGCGGATTGAAAATATGTGGCGGCCACTGGGGGCTGTCACTATTGCATATCTCCGCCAACAAAACCTCAAACGCGATTGTCGACATACGGAATGTTGCCGAAAATCGTCCAGGGTGTAGGCTGGTACTGTAACCTTGGGATAGTTACCGCTACTGGTTTGTGGCATTTTTTACCCTTCGCTGCCTGAGAAAGCGTTTGCCCAGGACACGAACTGGATTGATGCCCTCGCACCTCTTCTCCTCATCGTCGAGCAGGGCCTCCAGAATCACTCGGTTAGGGAGGCAGTCCCACCAATGCATATCACATAATCACCCACACAGGCACTGAACCTGCCACTCGACTTCTTCTTACAACCGCACCTCCGTCAAACAAGCGCTTCCAATCCGTGAAGAGCTAGAGCCGTTTTGACTGATACGAGGTCGAATACGGAATAGTCATGATGAAGTAGCGGCCAAACGTCGCGTACAGGCGTGTACCCTAGTGGAGCTCGTAGGCCTATGCCGAGTTTGGCCGCTCCTTCACCATGATCGTCGTAGGGGCATGCAGAACTAGAAACGTACGGAAGCAAGATAGCAACCACAACATTCTTAGGCTACCAGCTTATCTTTGAAATGCTGCAAAAAACAACTCGTAGATCTCAAAAACAAAACATTCGACCGCCGTTTGCGGAGTCTCGCAAAACGTTTGCCAGATTCCCGAGTGCATGCACGCACAATTGTTTGCTACTCTCATTCCATGCTCATTCCGGAATGACCGAACAAATACAACCTTATTCTGGTCTGGTCTCATTCTGGTTTTGGTCTTATTCCGGTTTTGGTCTCACTCCGGCTTTGGTCCTATTCTGGTCTGGTCTCATTCTCACGCTAATCTTGGAGTTCATAGGGAATGTCAGTGAGGAACGTTTAGGAACAGAACATATGTCCTATTCCCATAACTCCTTTCGATATTAATTTTTGTCTGCCTATCTAGAGAAACCCTTTGTCTGCGGTGTGGGTCTACCCCTGAGAATGCTGCAATGTTCAGATGTGCCTGTATATGCGGAAGTCGCATCTGCATTTCTCACACAATCTCTCTTAGGGCCCGGTCCCACATGCACTTGAGAGTTGCGGATCCGCTGCAGCGGTGTCGCAACAGCGTGTATCACCATGGAAACTGCGAGTAGCGGAACTTCTGCCATGGCGGAAAGTTTAAATCCGCTACTCCAAAAATTTTGGAGCATATACTCTCCTGCGGAAGTTCCGCTCCTGCGACACTCGGCCATAGTGAGCGATTTGTGTTGTTCGATTTAATTTTTCGGTCATGAAGTGGACACTTTGACTTGAGTCAGAGCAGCTACGGCTGCAGTTGTACACGTCATGTACAGTAAAACCTGTAACTAACGACCACCCCTTGGTGCCTGGAAAAGTGGTCTTTAGTGGCAGGTGGTCTTTAGTTAGAGGTTTGCACCGCGTGACCATATATGGATCCCATATATGATATGTATGTCAAAATGCAGATAATACAACCCCCCACCACTTGCGCACTGACATTCTTCTTTCAGATCATACAACACTTGGAGAGAGAGAAAATCAAGTTTTATTGCAGACATTAAATTCAGCTCCTACTTCTGAAGCCAGGAGTCAAGACGACAAGAGTTCCTGTTGAAGCTTCTCTTTGCGCTGGTGTGTACCAGTACTCGATCTACGTATATGTACGTGATGCAGCGATGTTGCGAGTTTTCGCACCTTCACTGTAGACTATAGTAATATCCGCCATCGTATCCTGGGATTCCTGGCCTGTGTTCCGTACAGGTGAGTACATGTACCATAGCATGCTAGCTAGCCAGCACAGACTGTCAGTGTGACCTGGTGACTGAGCTGTGTGATTGCACTTCGACAGAGAGCCGCTCAGTCTTTTCTCCTTCGAGTACTAACATCGATCAAAGAGCGCTTTGGATGCGCTCTCCAAGACGTTTCCTATCATGTTTGTTCTTGACAGCACTTGAAATTATGACAGGTGTAGTGCAGTCCACACTGATTCCACAGTCAAAATGAGACTGCGTTCATATGTCCAGCTGTAGTATCGAAACAGTCCTTTCAGGACCATGGAAAATCATCAACATTTCGAGAAGGAGCTTCGAGCAATGTTTGATTTCCTACATCGCGGTCGCTAGTTACGGGTCAAAATTCGACATTGGGACAAGAAAAGGCGGTCGCTGGTCGCGTTCAGCAGGTAGTCGCTAGTCACAGTGCATTTTGAATGTGAGACCGTCCGTGCCTGACGAAGTGGTCGGTAGTACCAGGCCGGTCGCTAGTCACGGTGGTCGTTAGTTACAGGTTTTACTGTATGTTGAGGTCGAGACTCGTTTGACCAAGGGATGAAGAGAGATACGGAGCGGTATAGGTGGATAGCCGAGAAGCTGATGCTGAAACCGACGGCTGCGGCGTCGGCCAAAGACCAAATCGCGGACCCGTGAGCAGCCAAGCATGGCCGTCATGTAAAACCACGCAGGGGGACCACTGTGATGTAGGTCTGGCAAGAGCAATTCTAGTATCTATAGCAGGTATCGTCGATGTGCTGCTCAACAAGTTCGTACTAGTATTCAGCAACGACAATGTCGCTGCGTTCTCCATAGCCTTGTGACAACGTCTCGCCAATCGACCTCTACCCAACGGAAAATCCATTCTTTCAGATTATTCAGAACAAAGACTCAAAGTCAACAATACCGAACCCACGACATGTAGCTAATGGTAATGCTTGATACTAGGGGTCAAACGGGTGTACCGGGTACCCGGGTACCCGCCCGTTAATCTCAGGTACCGTTAGTAAAAGGGTACCCGTTTGTATAAAAAAAAAATAATAATAAAATAAAATAAAAAAGGGATCCTATCGTATTCCAAGACTCAAAAATAATAGGAGTGCGGATACTCTTTTCCTTTTTCCTGTGCATTCCCGCTTTCGACTTTATCAGGCAGGAGCAGCTGAAAGACAGACTTGACAGTTGTTCTCTCCACTCTAGTGCAAGTAAAAATCCTCGTACTGGAGGTTTTTGATTGTGATGTGAGAAAATGCAAGACTTGAAACTCGTTCGAGGTGGCAGCTGAGTAACTAGAAAGTTACGATGGTTCTCCAACATCGAACCTGACACAGTACTTGATGAACTAGTGTCACCAGGCTGAGTGACCAGTCGGAGTGCCACAAACGGTGATGTCCGTAGGTGGTAGCTGCATGTATGATACTCATGGTTGTAGTTTGTTCCTTCAATCGACGAGCTGAAAAGTAGTTCGAAATATTGCATACAAGATTACGGATTTGTGAAGATTCATTTCACGCGTTCAACAAGCTAGCACTAGCAGCTAGCTGGCCAGCAGCACATCAGCTGTGTCAGGCACCCCCGCTAGCTATGGGCGCGAACATCTTCTGAATGCAACGAGTACCAGTTCTCTGCGAACATAGCAAATAGGATTGCGCGAGATCACGGAAGTTTTGCTAAACCACTCTGTCCTTGCATGGCTTGAATCACATCGATCTGCAGTTGATTTGCGTACATGTATCAACATACATGTAGCTTGTAGGATCATCTACATGTACGATTGTAAGTTACTGCCTGTGAAGTTATGTACATGGGCAAATGCACGGATGATTAAAGTGGTAGGATGTAAGGTCCTCCGACACAGCACACACACACACAGCAAGGTCAAGTCTTTATATATAGTTATGATCCATTAATCTTACGCGTTTCTGCCTGTAAGGCTTCGTCAGAGACAAGGATGAAATAATATGAATAAAGACTAGTAGTTATATAGGGCTTGATTCTATGTGCCAGATGGGTGCTTGGGCGGTAAATGCGCTATCAAGCAAGTTTAAAGGCGCAATAACTTGAGTTGCAGACAAGTGTAACAAATGTCAAAAAAGTTGTACAAGTTGAACTAATGTACTAAACCGTAAGACTGGGGGTCAAAATATGCGGTCATAGTACCAGAATGTTTGTACAGAGTCAAGATCATGCAGAATCAAAAGAGAGCGGGAAAAAATGGGCGGGAAAGTTTAGGTGGGAACCAGAAATTTCTGGTTCCCACCTAAACGCAGAGCGCTGTGCTCTGCCAGTGTCAGTGATTTGTACAATGGAATGTAAGCTTAGTACTACATGTAGTAGAGGAATGTAAATTGTACAAGATTAATAGAACAGTTGCTTAGTTCTCCTGAAAAAGATTTTCCCGTCTTTCATAAAGGATTGTTTAATGAGAGCTTTGTAATCATTAGTAATGAAATGCGGATGGTACTGAGTAGTAAATACAATAGTATCAGATTTAGGCTTGGGAGTTTTACTTTCTATAGCATGATTCATTACAGTAGGCAAAACATCAGTGAATGAGCTAGCCAGAAATTGCGGAGGATAACCTCTTCTGCGTAAACGTTTCCAGAACAAAGATCTTACATGTTGAATGTCAGCAAGTCTTGAGTTTGTTCTGTTGTAACGCAGCAGCTCAGCCTTGATGAAAGCACGCAGATTAGCTCTTGGGTGATCGGAGATAAATGGTATGTAAAGGTATGCGTTGCGAGGTTTCTGGAATGTACGAAACTCAAACACACAGTGATCATTGTTAGATGTTTTGAAAATGTCCAGATCCAGGAAGATGCAAGAGTCCGAAGGCAATGTCCAATTTAATTTGATACTTGGAAGCTCACTGTAGAGAGACGCTTGCAAAGCTGCTAAATTAGCAGATTCTTCGATCACTAAGATAAGATCATCAATGAATCTATTGAATAAATGCATGGATGACTTGAATGTGGTAATAGACTTCATTTCATGTACGAAAAGGAAAGCGTTGGCCACATTTACGGCCATTGGGGTACCCATGGCCATTCCGAACTCTTGGTGGTATAGAATGTTATCAAAAATGAAGTAGTTGTTTTCTAGAACAAACTTTAACAGATCTAACAAGAGATTTCGAAGTGGGTGGTTGACTAACAGGGAATCGACTGCAGCTATAGTGTCATGCCAAAATTAAGATTAATGGATCATAACTATAATATAAAGACTTGACCTTGCTGTGTGTGTGTGTGCTGTGTCGGAGGACCTTACATCCTACCACATAGATTAATGGATCATAACTATATATAAAGACTTGACCTTGCTGTGTGTGTGTGTGCTGTGTCGGAGGACCTTACATCCTACCACTCCTACAACAGAACAAACTCAAGACTTGCTGACATTCAACATGTAAGATCTTTGTTCTGGAAACGTTTACGCAGAAGAGGTTATCCTCCGCAATTTCTGGCTAGCTCATTCACTGATGTTTTGCCTACTGTAATGAATCATGCTATAGAAAGTAAAACTCCCAAGCCTAAATCTGATACTATTGTATTTACTACTCAGTACCATCCGCATTTCATTACTAATGATTACAAAGCTCTCATTAAACAATCCTTTATGAAAGACGGGAAAATCTTTTTCAGGAGAACTAAGCAATTGTTCTATTAATCTTGTACAATTTACATTCCTCTACTACATGTAGTACTAAGCTTACATTCCATTGTACAAATCACTGACACTGGCAGAGCACAGCGCTCTGCGTTTAGGTGGGAACCAGAAATTTCTGGTTCCCACCTAAACTTTCCCGCCCATTTTTTCCCGCTCTCTTTTGATTCTGCATGATCTTGACTCTGTACAAACATTCTGGTACTATGACCGCATATTTTGACCCCCAGTCTTACGGTTTAGTACATTAGTTCAACTTGTACAACTTTTTTGACATTTGTTACACTTGTCTGCAACTCAAGTTATTGCGCCTTTAAACTTGCTTGATAGCGCATTTACCGCCCAAGCACCCATCTGGCACATAGAATCAAGCCCTATATAACTACTAGTCTTTATTCATATTATTTCATCCTTGTCTCTGACGAAGCCTTACAGGCAGAAACGCGTAAGATTAATGGATCATAACTATATATAAAGACTTGACCTTGCTGTGTGTGTGTGTGCTGTGTCGGAGGACCTTACATCCTACCACCTTGATACTCAACTGAACAAAAACAACGATCTGTCCAACACCTAGCATCTACATCATCAGTACATCAGTGCTGCGTTGATGTGTCCACAAAGGACGAAACAGTTCTGTCCACAGACACAGTACTGTACTGACTGTACAGACTCAGTATCAGTATACAGTACGTGCACGCGTACTTCCAAGTGAAAGCATGCTTGAGTTGCAGGAGAGCTGCACTGAATTTTTTGGAAGTCAGAGAGGCGCGCTCGCTTCGTTCGCCGTGCACGCGTGATCATGGGAGACCACGCGAGCATTTTGTCGCAGGAGAGGTGCGACACCACTCCCGCAAAACCTTGTCGCACCAGCGGATCCGCCACTGCATGTTGGACCGGGCCCTTATGGTATTCTGTCTTAACTCTCCTTCCCGTCGAGAATGGAATTGTTCCTGTTGCACACTCGGTAGAGCATGCTTGTCTTAATCTCATGGTCGTGGTTCTGAGGACCATGTTGTCGTTGCTCTTGTACAACTGCTTCTTTCGCTGCTCTCCGACTCACACTCCAAGCAGCAGTTGTGACTGTTAGGAGACTTCAGAAAGAGAGCTAAGATGACGAAGGAATGAAATGTACAAAGTGCCCTGGGGTGCATTGCTAGACATTGTGTGTGCTCTTGCGTGTGTGTGTGTGTGTGTGTGTGTGTGTGCGTGTGTGTGTGTGTGTGTGTGTGTGTGTGCACGCACACACGTGCGTATGTGTGTGCGTGTGTATGTGTGTGTGTATGGGTGTGTTCGTGCATGTGTGTATGTGTGTGCGTCCTGTGATCGCAGGTTCCATATTTTCCTCTACTAAATTCATTCCTCTAGGTTGAGTACTTCTTCAAGATTCTCCGGTAACTACGGAAACAGACAAGACTTCAGTGAAGGTTACAGTGCATCCTGAGTAATCGGCGTCACAATGCATTTTCGTTGATGTGTCTTCTGTAACCGCTGGAATGAACATTCAGCCACCGTTGCAGCAATGTGTTGAGAGATGCAAAGGCGAGGTTTGATGAGCTGATTTCGATGTGATATTAATCCTGAAACATAATGCAATGCCATAGTAAATGACTGTCGTTGAATTCATTCCATTTCGCTTTCATTATAAGAACGGAATTTATCTGTCTGTTTGAACCACACATATACTATGCATGCGTGGTGTCTGCGGGCTCTGTGATGTCATGATGTTATGGTGTCATGATGTCATGTTTTGATGTCATGATGTCATGATGTTATGATGTCATGATGTTATGATGTCATGGTGTCATGATGTTATGATGTCATGATGTCATGATGTTACGGTGCCATGATGTCATAATGTTATGATGTTATGATACCATGATGTCATAATGTTATGATGTCATGATGTTACGGTGTCATGATGTCATGATAGATCATCTTTGTCTTATGTCAGTACAAAATGGCAATCATGTGCAGGCTCTGTGCATTCGTTTTGAGTTATCTGATCCAGCTGCAGGGTGTGCATTTGTGTTTGTTACAGTGTTACACACTGCATGTATGGCATGTATGCTGCAGTTGATAGTTTTGTATTGATAGTACACAATATCATGTATAGCATGTATGCTGCAGTTGATAGTTTTGTATTGATAGTACACATTATCATGTATGGCATGTATGCTGCAGTTGATAGTTTTGTATTGATAGTACACATTATCATGACATCGTATAGTTCTCATCCTATCTTCAATGTAGCTAGTAGTAATAGTAATTGTAGTAGAATTTGAGTATTTCGCTCCTGCTCTTGTAGCAGTTCAGCACTCTCGTGTGGGGTAGTGCATTTTCTGTTTGCGTTATCCAGAGCTCACTGACTTGTCAGTTTGAGCACTCTCATGTGGGGTAGTGCATTATCTGTTTGCGTTGTTCAGAGCTCACTGACTTGTCAGTTTGAGCACTCTCATGTGGGGTAGTGCATTTTCTGTTTGCGTTGTTCAGAGCTCACTGACTTGTCAGTTTGAGCACTCTCATGTGGGGTAGTGCATTTTCTGTTTGCGTTATCCAGAGCTCACTGACTTGTCAGTTTTAGCACTCTCATGTGGGGTAGTGCATTTTCTGTTTGCGTTATCCAGAGCTCACTGACTTGTCAGTTTGAGCACTCTCATGTGGGGTAGTGCATTTTCTGTTTGCGTTGTTCAGAGCTCACTGACTTGTCAGTTTGAGCACTCTCATGTGGGGTAGTGCATTTTCTGTTTGCGTTGTTCACAGCTCACTGAGCACTCTGGCAAGGTTCGCTCGGGCCTCTGGCTTTGGAAAAAAATTTCATTGCTATCAGGATAAACGCAGAAAAGACTCCTATTGTGTACGTAGCTACCCGGATTTCACTTGTGTCAAGTGAAGCTTTTTCTTAGCCAGTATTGCTACATAGCTATGATGGTCACGGGTTGACTGATCCTTTCTTACATTGTACATGTATATAAAAAACTTACCATCTCCAAAGCAGCAGCAGAGATATGGAGTGGGTGAAATAATACCAAGCTACAAAGGAGAGAGTGACAACAACCATGCCAGGGAAAAAAAATTGGGCGTCATGAATATTTGCGCCAGGCCTCGTTACATGGCCCCTGCACCTCATACACACACATACACACGCGCGCACACAAACACACACGCACGCGCGCGCACACACACACACACTGTTCATTGCGCTCGAACGGTGGCGCTACTTCATTCATGAGGTCGATCGATCTGATGCCCCTACCGCCGTACCGGGCCCTGAGCTAGCCCTGTCAGAACTGGACGTGCGCGTGCGTTACTTGTCAGTCAGGGCGAGATACGTGTAGTGCAGGGGATTCAAGGGATTTCCCCTTGTCCGCACCCGCAAGGACCAGTGCTGTACATTTACCTGCTAGTGCTAAATCATGACTGTAGTAGTAGACTAGTGGGGTCCGTGATACATACCGGTAATCGTATAGACCCTTTGCACAATAACGGTCACGTGATCCGAGACGGGGCATCCTCTTCGATTTTTGTGCAGAGTATCCGTTGTTGAGCATGGTGAAACACTGTATTTTTCCATTTTGGAGATGGAGGAGAGAGTGTCGAGTGGTTTGCCATCGATGGCTGTGGCACCCGTGGACGAACTGTCAAATGAAGAATGGCCTGTGAAGGAACTGAACAGTTTTCTGCTGAATGAGGGTGCGTATCTGTCTGGAAAAAGAAGGAGTTGTTGGAGCGGTAAGTTTTCCGCTGTCAGTGGATATTTCGGATTACTGTAGATTGAAATTTATTTTTATTTTCTCTACCTTCTCTCCTCTGTCGATGTAGAGAACACTTCTCTATGCAGAACCCTGATGCTCCTAGAACTAAGAAGGGCACCACTTCCTCGAGTGTACAGTCGTCGTGCCCAACATTTCATGCGTCCCAGTGGATGACTCGATGAGTGATGAACCTCTGTTTCCCAGAGTGAGTGCCACACCAGGCTTGCTCATCTCCAACGCAGGGGCAAGTCGCCGACGACAGTGAAGAGGGAGCTGATGGAGTAGTACTAGTGAAGAAGCCCGTGGATAGTGTCCATGAGTTTTACTTTGGTGGCTATGTGCATAACGTGAAAGTCTGTCATATCGTGCACACAGCCACAGCTCGAACTCAGATGGCCTTCTCCGCACGCCTGAGCGATGAGGCTGCGTCTCTCTGCACTTCAACATCAGCAGCTCGAGCAGCGCCAGCAAGCAGTCGATCTTCCTTGAATAGCGAAGACAGGGATGGATCATGCCTTTCTCTCAAGCTCCAGAGTCTCTTGGCAGGACGTTCCGCGTCTTCGTAAAACGATGAAAGTGACTGTCGTCATCGACAAAGTGTTCCGAGCAAAACCGTGACTGTGAACGATGTCGCAGCAAACTGCTGCCCTTCTCGCCAAATAGCCAGGATTCAAGAGAGTGGAATGCCAGCATCACTAGGGAACGCCTGGAAAAACAAGTGGGTTTCTTAGACAAGGGATGACGGTTGCTGCAAACAAGAACCCAACAGCAGTCCTTGGAAAGCATATTTCGGAACTTCTTCCTTCAGAACTAAAAAAACTTCAAATGAAAAAAGGCTGGGGAGTACATACATGAACATCGCGTCGGGACCGTGAAAACCTAGCCTGTCACAGGAAACTTGATCACGTCCTGCATGCAGCAAACCATGCATGCTGGTTGCATGCCAAGTGTGCAGCGCGCGCACAGCATGCCCCGTCTCGACCCCTCTCGCTTATTGCGCAAAGGGTCTATTGTATGTCTGCGCTAGAATCGAAATACGAGAGTCGATAGAAACTTGCCGAGACTACAAGTTTCGATTCCTTATAGAGCATTTTCGATACAATTGTGTCCGTATCAGTGAAAGTCGATGCGTTCCTGGAAATGCGAACGGATTGAGTTTCATGTTCTCTTTTCTGCAGCAGAATATTTCAGTGGCTTTTCAGAACTTCATTCTAGTGGCGACAGTTTGCCTTTGCTGTAGTGTATGGCAAGAACCCAGAACACATGTTTATTGCAGAACTACTGCAGGGCTTGTTCCGCGGGTTTAGTGCAGATCTACTGCAGGGCGTGTTCCGCGGGTTTTTGCAGATCTACTGCAGGGCTTGTTCCGCTGCCACTCCTGATACAGTCAGTTCTGTGACTGTTGGACTAGAGCCAGAGAGACCAAGCTTCAAGAGAGGACATGAGATGATCATGATGATGGTACACAGAACACGGATTGTCAAGTGCACCGTGTGAAGTCACTCCACAACACGGTAAGAAACGAAGGGTGTACGTGTCAACGCTCACAGCCATGCGCTGGCTGCTCAGTAATCTGGCAATGCTAGAACGAGGAAACGTTGAAAGAAAATTCTGTTTGAAGATAGCGGTTGGACTATGTACAAGATTAGTACAACTGGACAGATAATTCGCCCAGGTAGACCTACCCAGGTACCCAGGTACCCAGGTACCCAGGAACTGTGTACCAGTCAAACTTCGTATCTGAACACATTTTACAAGGAAACGTGAATGTTACACTGTAATCACATAACTGCATGACTTGAATGCCCCTCGATACAGATTCCAGGGGCGTAGCACCCGCTACGACTGGTACGACCATGGCCGTACCACTTTTCGAAAAGTGTGGTCCGTCCGGAACGTGCAAAACCGTAATAAAAAAAATCAGGATCCATCGATGCATATATGCGCATCAGACTTTGACCTTTTTTCTAGACTCGTACTTGCAGATCTGTTATGCATCTGCAGTCGTACTGAGTACTGTACTCGACTCGACTGCACACTGCGCCAGAAGTGTGCCAGAAGTTCCCAGAACGCAGGATTTTGTGTCCTTTTTACAAAATTTTCATGGGGGAGGTCCCCGGACCCCCCTCCAACACGGCCATCGGCCGCACCGATCAGTCTTCGGTCGTACCACTTCCAAAACCCCTCCTACGTCCCTGCAGAAACAAACAGAGAGGGGGGGGGGGAGGGGGGGGGGGGAGGAGAGCTGGTCTCCGCAAAACGGTGCACTGAAATCCGTGTTGAAATAAAGTGATGAAACAATAGGGAAATGAATTGAAACAGAACATGCACTGCATCATACAAAACCTACTACAGTAGTATGCTACAGTTGCTGTGTTCACTGAAATACGACCCAAAGTACAAAGCTGGCGGCCTGGACCAGTTCCAATCACAGTTTACATCATTGCATCTGCACATGTACTGTATCTTTACATGTGTACGTCCAGCCACATTCGTGCCACTTCCAGGCAACCAAGGCTGGTGCAGGTGTACGTCCAGCCACATTCGTGCCACTTCCAGGCAACCAAGGCCGGTGCAGGTGTACGTCCAGCCACATTCGTGCCACTTCCAGGCAACCAAGGCTGATACAGGTGTACGTCCAGCCGCATTCGTGCCGCTTCCAGGCAACCAAGGCCAGTGCAGGTGTACCTCCAGCCACATTCGTGCCACTTCCAGGCAACCAAGGCCGGTGCAGGTGTACCTCCAGCCACATTCGTGCCACTTTCAGTCAACCAAAGCCGGTGCAGGTTGAGGGCGCCAGCTTAGCACTTTGGGTCAGATTTCAGTTAAGCGCAACTGTACATGTATGTAGCATACGAGTACACCCGAGGTCGTGGCTTAATAATAATATAGGGAGACAACACTGGACACTGTAACGCTAAATCACGTACGTATCGACCACCGGGCTGCATGCCCGCTACTAATACATGCTCGCACATGACATTGCTTGTCTGTGCCCCGCTCTCTCATGTAGGCAGGCCGTCGTAATGATGGGTTGGATTTAGTACACCGTGCAATACACAACAAGTAAAATACGGTACCAATTTGTCAAGGCTATCGGCGGAAATGGAGGGGGGGGGGGGGGGTTCGGCCACCTGTTGGAAAACCCGAGTTTAGCAAACATTCGTGCTTCACAGAAAACAAATTGGTATGGCGATTACTACAAGAACAAGCGGAATACCAATAGACTGCCAACGATGGTTAAGGCGTGCGGTAGGTTGCGTAGATGGACACGCTGCAAAAACAAAACTCGCGCTGCAAAAGCAAACTCGCACTGCAAAAGCAAACTCGAGCTGCAAAAGCAAACTCACGCCGTAAAAGCAAACTAGCACTGCTAAAGCAGACTCGCGCTGCAAAAGCAAATCGAGCTGCAACAGTGAGACAGCCTGTCACAATACAGTTTCTGTGCTCCCAACCGTGTGTCAAGCTCTGCCTTATAAGGGCATTGTGCAGCCTGCTTTCTAACATTGTCTGCCGTGAAGCAGTTTGCTAATGCAGGGGTGTAGGAAGGTATTTTTAGTGTGGTACGGTCAGCCATCTGAGATACAGTGTACTCGTGGGGAGAGGGGTTGCTGAGCCGAAACATTTGGAAATCGTACGCACTGCCGGGCTCCCGCGCGGGGCCCCACGCAAGCATTCGCAACCGCGATGTACGTACGGCATGTCGTATAAGCCACCTATCAGCCTTGGGTGCAAGCTCACCCAAGGCCACCCTCGCAAGGCAGGAACAAGTAAAGACATTCACCAGTTGTTTGCTGTGCCTACCCGCCGCAGAAATTATTTGAAATTGTCTCTTCTCCGCTCTCAGCGATAGTCTTACACCCACCATGGCTTTCTCGCAGGCACAAAGGGAGTCTATCCAGCAGATCGTGGCAGGCAGCGTGGCAGCAGCCCTCAGCGGCAACGCACCGGAGAACGTCACGGAGCACCAAGAAGACGGTATGTGTGCTGATGAATTCATGCACCATACGAACATGGGTTACCCCTCCTGCATTTCGCATGTCTCGTTGGAGACAGTCGATCGGTTTAGACGAATCGAGTATATAGATCTGGCAATACTGCTCCCGCCAAAATCTATTTCTACCGGGGAGCCAGCCCCTAAGAGGTTCTGCATAGACGAGGAAGGGGCAATTTCGGTGACAAGCGCACCAAAAGGAAAAATTGAGAACCTTGCCACGTGGACCGAGACATGGTCTATCTTTAGCCTGATCGCCATCCGCAATCAACCTCGCTGAACCGCTGCACTTATGCAGCATCAAATACGCATGGTACAGGCAGCCGGGAAGTACCGCTTCTCTGCAGTCGGGGACTATGACACGCCGGCACGCCAGGCCCAGTCAAAGGACCCAAGCTGATCCCTGGCGGAGCTCGACACGGAGCTTTTCGCGACCTGTTTCACGGGACAGGCCCTCCCCAATTGCAGCATTTGCAAGAAGGTGGGGCACTTGGCCGGAGCACACACCTCGGCCTTTCGCGACAAGCAGGCGAAAGAGAGTGCAAGCACTAAATCAACCAAAATCTGCCGCCGCTACAATCACGGCGCCTGCAGCGGCCCATGTCGCTTTCGACACGCCTGCCTCTTCTGCTCAGGCTCGCACGCCATGTCAGCCTGTCCAGCCAAGAAATAAGAGCGAACAGCAATCAGCCCCGGCACCACTTTCTTGCATTCACCCACCCCCTAACACCCCTATGAACATTGCATTACACCCCAACACCCCTTTCAATATTGATGCATTACACACTGAATTGCTGGCGCACTCTAATCCTGCATTTGTTCCTTCTCTAATTAGCAATTTACATGCCGGCTGTCGTATCGGGTTTGCCGAACCCCGGTATGTGTCCGTACGCAGCCCGAACTTGTCTTCAGCGGCAGCACACCCCGAGGTCGTCGACCAGTACCTGGCCACGGAATGCAGTCACGGCGACACCGCTGGCCCCTTCAACGCGCCGCCATTCGTCCGTCTGCGCACCTCTGGCGAAGGTGTGGTCCCCAAGAAGTCGGGCGGCCGCCGGCTCATCATGCACCTGTCCACCCCCGATGGGAACAGCGTCAATTCGTTCATTGACAAGCAGGCCTACCGTTTCTCTCTAATTACGATTGACACGATAGCTGAACACATGCGCAGGACGGGCCCCGGAGCCTTCCTGTCAAAGGTGGACCTGAAGCACGCTTTCCGACTCTGCCCCGTGCACCCCGACGACTGGCCGCTCCTCGGTATGTTGTGGAATGGCAACTTCTATATCGACACTGTCCTGTAATTTGGCCTACGCTCCGCTCCCAGTCTGTTTAACTGCCTGGCTACCACCCTAGAATGGATCCTCTGTAAGAACTATAGTATCCCTGCACTGGAGCACTATTTGGATGATTTCGTCTCAGTGTGTCCAGCAGCCGAGTCTGTCACGTCCTCGGCGGCCACGACCCACAAAGCCACTATTCTGCAGGTCTTTGCAAAACTGGGCGTCCCAACAGCAGACGGCCCGGACAAAGTTGTTGGCCCCGCCACCTGCCTCACAGTGCTTGGCATCGACATTGATTCAGCGGCAGGGGAGCTGCGGCTCCTAGCCGAGAAGCTCCAAACATTGCGGCAACTCCTCGCAGCCTGGGCCATCCGGTCATCAGCGTCCAAACACGAACTCTAATCCCTCGTTGGCCACCTGGCGTTCGCCGCCAAGGTCGTCCCAGCCGGTCGTACGTTCACTCGCCGCGACCGCTGTACTCGGGGGCTCTCCATATGTACGCGACACGCGTGCCCCGCATGGCGCAAACAAAATAAGGGCCAGGCACCGTGTTGCCATGCTACCGAGGCAAATTGTAGAGGGTGTTAAGCCTACCTAGCAGGTTGTATGTTTGCCCGTATACTATGGGCACGGCTCCGCGAGCCTGACCTGCTCGCTGTCTTGTGTTCTGCGTGTATATCCAGGCTTGCAAGCCGCGCGCATAACATCCCGCCGGATGTCCACCTCCCGCCGGAGGATCGCCTACAGACACCGCCGCCGCAAGCAATGGCTCCGCGAGCCAACGCTTCGCCGCCCGCTGTCTATTGTTCTGTGTGTCTATCCAGGGTCGCTAGCCCGCTCGCATTACATCCCGCCGAACATATAACTCCCGCCGGAGAATCGCTTACAGACACTGCCGCTGCAAGCTACGGCTCCACCGAACCAAGGCTTCGCCGCCTGCTGTCTTTTGTTCTGTGTGTCTGTCCAGGGTCGCCAGCCCCGCTTGCATAACATCCCGCCGGATGTCCACCTCCCGCCGGAGGATCGCTTACCGCCGCAAGCCACAGCTACGCAAGCCAACGCTTACGTGCCACCCCCATGCGCCCACCCGCAAGGCTAAGTACCTATGGATTAGGCCAATAGCAGAGGCTCCCACCCCGCGGGGCTGGGGGAGGGGGGCTCTCGGGTCGTATTTGCATTAGCCCCACAGGATGAGGGCGAACCTCGGCCAAACCAGTACAGGAACGCCCCGCCGAGGTCAAGGGGGAGATCTCCCACTAGCATAACCCACGGGTCCCCTGCTTACAATCCACAGCCACGCCGCCGGGCCAGTGTGTTCCGGGAAGCGGGCCGCTGTTCAGCGACCCGGCGCAGCACGCATACACCGCAGCTTGGCCGCCGTACCATCCTGCCTGTTTAGAAAACATGCCCGTGTGCGGGCGTATGCGTGTGTGCGTTTGTGTTGCATGCGCTTTTGCCTGTGTCCTCCTAGGCTTGCTAGCCGCCGCTCTCTCAGCGCGAGTAGAGCACCTGATTGCCAACTCGGTAGCCACTGGCACACAGCGCACGTACGCCCCAGGCTGGCGTTCATTCCTGGAGTTCATGGGTCGCATGCGCCGCGACGCACATCACCCAGATCAGAACACGATGTCCTGCTGTTCGCTGCCGGAATGTCTCACTCAGTCAGCGCCAGCACTCTGAGAGTCTACCTGGCCGCGATCAAATACCACCTCCTCCGCATGGGAGGCCCGGTCAGGGTTACATCCTCAAGCCGCATCACAGCCCTGCTCATGGGCTTAGAGAGGGAGAGAGCGTCGCTTCCCAGACATCCGTCAGCACGCCCTCAGCGCCAAGCGATCACCGTCCACCAGCTGAAGGCTCTCCGCCAGTTCTTGAATCGGTCCTTGTTCTCCCCTGCAGACAGACTAATGCTATGGGCTGCTCTTACGACAGCCTTCCACGGCCTGCTGCTGCGTGTGAGTGAGTACATGTCGCTCTCACCACACGGTCCCGGCGGCCTCAAGACGCTGAGGCACGAACACCTCCGGCTAGCCCAGCAGGAGGCCTCTCTGCAGCTGCAGAGGACGAAGACGTCTCAATTAACAACAGGCGGGGAGGTAGCACTGAATCACTACGCTGACCCCGCACTATGTCCCGTCCGAGCCCTGCAGGCTTACGTTCGGTCCAGCAAATGGAGCAATGACAAGCAACCCCTATTCAAGTTTCAGGATGGTCGCCATCTCAAGCCGAACGACATCAATGCTGTCCTACACAAAGTGCTAGGTCCAAGCATCAGCAGCCATTCCTTACTCGTCGGGGGAGCCACACACATGGCGGATTGAGGCGCACCAGAGTATGCCCTGATGGCTGCAGGCCGCTGGTCCAGCAGGGCATATCGCACGTACATTCTCAGGCCCGCAGGCATGCCACACCACTACTAGAGCCTGCGTGTCGCAATCCATTCGGTACCTTTATTGGAGGCACGGGTGCTGCCGATGGGCGCTGCATAGTGCACGCACATCGGCACCATTGAACTATTCATTTTTTCTAAGATTTAGTGTTCCGCTGCCATAGCAACCTAGTAGTACACATAGCCGTTCTGACAGCGCAGGACCCCGCAGGTCGCTTCTGCTGTCCTTGCCTCTCTGATGTGTAATGTGTGTACATCATTTATAATCATAACCTCATACTGAATACATGTACGTCATACTTGATTACCGATCACAGGCTCATGATTACTCACGCTGGAATACACGCTTGCGACACCCCACAGGCTCGTCTCTGTTGTGTGGCATGAGGGTTAAAGGGGAAGTGCATCGATTTTTCGAGTAGGGTCCAGAAGTTGATATCGGTTCGAATGGCATATCTCTCGCTTCCTTACGATAAGCCAAACTTGCCAAATCGCCAATTGTATGCTCACGTTGCCATAGCGACCAGAGCAGTGATGACGTATGAAAGGCTTAGCTTCTCCACAGAGAAGGTCGATCACTGCAGAAATTGGTCATTTTCAATTGTCTTATTGTATTCACGATGTGAAAGAAGTGCTGTGTTCAATGCTGTTAGTACCGTGAACTATTTATCGCCCTTCTCATGCATTTCCCTAGGCTGACTGTGCCTAGGAAATGGTTTCCTCTAGGACAAGATGCTTGGAAATCGCCATCTCTCCTGAGACAATTTTCAGCAAACTTTCAAACCTACGACATTATTTCATTCGTCAATCTCCGCCACCCGTCGTGTCACCTGGCTTCAGAAGATGTTACGAGAGTCGCCAGGAAGCATCACATTCATCTTCAGGAAGTGAAAAGAGCAAACGGCATGGTCCTTGGTTGGGGGAAATGCTGAACGTCTGATTTGTCCCAACCAAGATGTCAGCATTTTGTTCGTCACTATTTTCGCTTGTCTGCTGGTGTCTCCGCTCTCCAGCTTTCTCCTGTCGGTGTCACGTTCCAGTACACAACCGAGAGGACTACTAACGAACAGTTCACTGCACTAAGAGCATTGAACACAGCCCTTCTTTCACTTCGTGAATACAATAAACCAATTGAAAATGACCAAATTCTGCAGTGATCGACCTTCTCTGTGGTGGAGCTAAGCCTTTCGTACGTCATCACTGCGCTGGTCGCTATGGCAACGTGAGCATACAATTGGCGATTTGGCAAGTTTGGCTTATCGTATGGAAGCGAGAGATATGCCATTCGAACCGATATCAAATTGTCTTTCTTCTGGACCATACTCGAAAAATCGATGCACTTCCCCTTTAACTGTCATTTGTCACTTGTCACTTGCAACTGAGTACCTAGACCTACAACTACATACCGGCAAGTAGTACTGTAAACTCATGTACATGTGAATTCTGTACTAACTCTTACAGTTCTAGTCCATGTCAGCTCCCTGCCTCACAGGCATAGCGTCCCAGGGCTAGGGACTTCCCCTATCTAGCCCTGCTACATTTGTATTGTGTCTAGCTCCTCCACTGCACACGTAGAATGTCTACATTAGTCATGCAGTCTGTCGTCACGTGACATCACCACAATGGGGCTGTTAAGTGATGACGTCACAGTTCCTTCGATACGCATAACAACGATCCCACTGGGGACAAACAAAAGTAGCGTCGTCTCCACCGACCCAGTTGTCAGTGGCAACATATAGGAATCGTGTACATTTCTTCGTTTCTTCTTTGCTGTTTTCAGTGAGTGTTTTGTTTTCTCTTTGTCCTTGATCTCGACGATGTTGTCGTGCTCATTACCTTACTGAGACGTCTCTTGTGACTGTAGCCAGTGTCATGGAGGATTTTATTGGCGTGACAAGGTAGATCGCCGAGATCGAGCGTGAAAAACGCTCTGCTTTAGTAGCTCCTGTAGAATGTTTTCTGGGTTGGCGTATCCATGGTCAACAAAACCAAGGTGCAAGACAGCATGAGAGATCGTGTAAACGATGTGAACTCCAAAAGGTAAGCTCCTGAACAAGTGGAAAGATATGGGTATTTACAAACTCTCTCTTCATCCATCGATTGGTGCTATGCATTGCATTTTGTCTTCACAGATAATCTGGACAAATAAATTATAAACTGGAGAGTGCAATCGTGCTTGGGACCCATCCCAATGTCATCACATGGCTGTGGTGACTAGTGTATATCTGGGAGAATTTTTCCTCGACTGATACGGAGTACAGGTGGATCGATTATGAGAAATGCGAACATGTGAAGTAAGTAATTAGTTGTGTCGAAGAAATGTCCAATAAAATAAAATTTACTTTACACTCAAACATACACTGTAGATGTACATCAAGAGTACATAACCCCCCAGAGTGTGCAACGCCGATCCAGCTCTGCATATGATAGGGTCTTGGTCGAGCGGAATCGGATCTTCTGATGTCATGCGTACACTTCACACCAGCGCAAGGCCGGTCTCGAGGTAGGGCAGCATTGTTTTTGATCCAAGAGTACCCGCGACTCCCCAGGTTCCCCTCAGATGTGTACGGTATTATGACGCAAAGATCCGATTCCGCTCGACCAAGACCCTATGCAGAGCTGGATCAGGCGTTGCACACTCTGGGGGGGGGGGTTATGTACTCTTGTGTACATGTAACATCATGATAATGATTCCACCTTCATTGTCCCGCAACTGGTACACCATACGCACCGAATACATGGTGTGTGTGTGTGTGCGCGCGCGCGCAAGCGCGCGCATGTACATGCACACACTCTCATGCGTGGCCGAGTCGGCCAGATGAACAGACCATGCATTTACACGAGGTGTCCATAATGTCATTGGAACGCTGTACTTTATGACTTTATTCCAAAAGACTATGTCTTGCCCCTGACGAATGGAGTTGTGTCTGTGCTCAGCGGGTATCGGGCTATGACGCAACACTGCAATCAGCGCTGCAATTAAAAGAGCACTGCATGGATTATTTTGACTAACTTCCTTTGCGTTTACTTGGTTGAGCCCGTGGTTTCATTTCTGTGTTCTCTCATGATTGGCCTCTGGAAATAATCAGAGTGGATGTCATTTTGCCATATATGTGTGCCTTGTGCGACAGGTTCAAGGCTAGATGCACTTCACATTCGGCGTGCGATCTCAGCGTCTGGGACCTGATGAAGTCTTGGTTGGATGATTATTCAAGCCTGATACTACTCGACACACCAATGTTCATGTCAATGTAATTTTTTCAGAGCTGCACTATTTACGTGTTGACGCTTACTTCGGTGTTAGCGTGTTTCCCCCGGATTGTTTCTATCATCATGATCGTGTGTTCTTGGGCTGAGCGAGCACATGCACAAGTGTGCAGCTATAACCCTGTGTATCTTTGGTTACACTTTGTTCTGCAATGCATGTACCTTGTAACATTATGTGCTTGCACTGCTTTGTCTGGTCTGCGTATTTCAGGACTATTCAGTGCATTAGACCCAGGTTTGTTTGGTTGCCGGATGACCTCTTGTTGCGTCGCTCTGTATTTGTATTCATCAATTTTTGGGCTTGAGAATTGAGCTGTTGTGTGGTTCCCAATATGAAAACATCATGCTGGTGCTCTGTGTTTCGATTATCGACTGTCGGAGCAGTCCTGCATTTATTAGCAGAACGGTCAATACTGTAGTCTTTTCACGTGTTTGTCTTTTTTGTGTTTTCGCCGGGGGTATTAGCGTCACGTTGCACACAGAACGGCAGTGTTGCATCACTGGACGACCCCGCCTCTGCATCTGACTTAATTTCCCCAGGATCTGGTGCAGTTACACCAGACAGCCACTTCCTGTAAACACGCAAACAGCAAAAGAAGAGATCCCGCAAATCAGGAAAAAACATTATGGAAAATATAGAGTAGATCATACAACATTCAATAATCTGGAGTAATTACAGTGAGACAAACACTTCAAACAGTGCTCTCTCTCTCTGTCTCCATCCTTCCAAAAATACCCT